CAGATGGATGTCAAAACCGTTTTCCTTAATGGGAAGCTGCCTGAAGATGTTTACATGTGTTAGCCAGAAGGTTTTGTAGATGCTAAATATCCCAATAGAGTGTGCAAGCTTGAGAAATCCATTTATGGATTAAAACAAGCGTCTCGCAGATGGAATTTTTGCTTCGATGAGAAAGTCAAAGAGTTTGGTTTCTCTAGGAGTGAGGATGAGTCATGTGTGTATGTCAAGGATAGTGGGAGTACAGTTAGCTTTCTAGTATTGTATGTCGATGACATACTGCTCATAGGAAACGACGTCCCAACTTTGCAGGAGGTTAAGACCTGGCTTAGGAAGTGTTTTGCTATGAAGCATATAGGGGAAGCTGCTTACATTCTGGTGATAAGCATTTTGAGAAATAGGAGTAAGAGACTAATTGGACTTAGTCAAAATACTTACTTGGACAAGGTACTGAAACGTTTTAGCATGGAGATTTCCAAGAAAGAGGAGTTGCCAATCCAGAGCAATACCAAGCTGAGTAAGACTTAGAGTCCGAGTACCGATGCTGAGATAGCGGAAATGAGTCGAGTGCCATATGCTTCCGCCGTTGGCTCGATCATGTACGCTATAACATGTACTTGCCCTTATGTAGCTTTTGCGTTGAGCATGGTTAGCCGATATCAAGGGAACCCGGGTAGAGCTCACTGGACAGCATTTGAGAACATTCTCAAGTACCTGCGAAGGACTAAGGACTGGGTCCTTATACTTGATGGGAGTGGTGACTTGAGAGTGACAGGGTATAGTGACGCCAGGTTTCAAACCGACAGAGATAACTTCCGCTCTCAGTCAGGCTGGGTATTTACCCTAAATGGAGGAGCAGTGACTTGGAAGAGTTCCAAGCAGGAGACCGTGGCTGATTCAACATGTGAATCAGAGTATATAGCTGCGAGCGAAGCGTCGAAGGAGGCTATATGGTTGAAGAACTTCATTGGAGACCTTGGAGTTGTACCAGCCATAAAGGAGCCCATGGAGATTTTCTGTGATAATGAAGGACCGGTTGCCTTAACCAAGGAACCAAGGGATCATGGTAGATCCATACATATCGACAAAAAATACCACTTCATTAGAAATCAGGTAGAAGAAGGACTCATCGTGGTCAAGAGGGTATCGTCAGAAGAAAATCCTACGGATCCCCTCACAAAGGGTCTAAGTAGGGTCAAGCATATTCAGCATGCGAGGAGCATTGGTCTGAAGGACGATATTAGTCTTAGTGATTAGATAGATGTTTAGAAACTTGTAATAGATAAATGTAATTCACATTTGGTGATTATATAATAGAGATTTATATATAAGTATGGTTTACTATCTTGTGTCAATTGTTTACTATTGTTTCACTTTTGCATTATTTACTTCCTGAATAATTGGATTATTCAAACTGTCCACAGTTGATCATACTTTGGAAGTAAGCTATGAGGTTATACTGTCATGAATTGGTTTGTAGATTTTCTAACTGCTTAGACATAGCAAAGGTTTGCTGCAACATTCATGAGTACTCTTGAAATAGGATTTGAGTATTGGATTAAACTCACGCTCATTTGAATCACTTCATGGAATTTATCACGAGTGATGGTGAGACGATAATATCGTATAATCTTTAAACCAAGATATATCAGTTGTTGTTTACGAGTTGGTTGTGCATTGATAATGCGTAAACGCATCAGTAACTTGATGTTATAAAACGTATTATTGTGTACGGTTTGATGAGTAAATAGTTCAAGCATATAAGTCAAAGTTTATCTGTTCCTTTATCCTAAGAGGGTAAAAGTGATATCTTGGGCCCATCGATGATTTTGTGTTGACTTATGTGTCGGGCCCGGTCAGGACTGAATTGATGTGTTCAATTAAGTTCCTTGTCAAACAAATCAGAAATCGGGAAACAAATTGGTTGACATTGAGTATGACTCTATTCCATGTCTTTTTCCACACGATATCTTGCAGAACGGAGGATTATATGATCCCTTATCTAAAGGACGTGTCATTGACTAGGCCAGAGTTCGACAGTGGCTTTTAAGAGCTACGATTGCTAATCAGATTCTGAAGTTTCATTGGCATTTACAGTTATTAGACTTATCCAAGTGGGAGACTGTTGGATTAGGTGTCTAAGCCCATAACTATAATTGGTATGTACTTGATCTGATAGTATCATGGTCCTTTTGGGTTGCTTCACCATAGCAACTGGACATGATGAATTATGGAGAAAGAGGTTGATAAATGATTTATTAATATATTATACGAATAATATATTAATTGAGAAATCATATTATTTAATTAGTATTAATCAAAAATTAATTTGGAATTAATTTTGGGACTAAAGGAACTGATTAAAAGTAAGGGGACTAATATTGCAAATCAGTGATAGTTGCAAGTTGGGCTAATGGACTCCTAAAAAAAGGAGTGGACGAAATATATGGGAAGCCCATAGAGATTTCGTCCATAGGCTTTCTAGAAGGGTTCCATGGACTGCTTAAGTCTTAAACAATCAGATTAGGGTTTCACCTGGAAACCTTAGCAGCCTCAGCTATATAAAGGACCATTGGCTTACAGTTTTCGGCCCTATGCATTCAAAGAAGAACCCTAGCCGAATTTTGTAGAGCCTCCATCACCTCTCTCCTTCATCATTTGCTAAGTGGTGTTTGTGACTCCATTAGAGGTGCAACGCTTGGAGCACTAAGCTCTTGAAGGTCAAGATCAAGCTAGGAATTACTTGTTACTACTAGTTAACAAGAAAGGTATTCTTCTAACCCTAATATTATGTAGATCTCGTTTTTATGTATACTAGAATTAGGGTTATTGCTTTGGAAATCTTATTTGCATGTATAACTTGAGAAAAATCTAGATTCAAAGCAATTAGGGTTGCATGTGAACATAGGAATATTGTAATGCTCAAAACCCATCATTATGTTGGTACCTTAAGTCCTATAAGTTCTAGATCTGGACTTTGGTCATGGTTTTGGACTCCAAGTTTGAGTCTTGGCCCTTTTTCCTTCATTTTGACCTAAGTTGGTGTTTAAGTCATGTATTGGACATATGTGACTGAAAAGCTTTGATTTTTATGGTCCTTGGGGTCAAGGAAGACCCTTTAGACTGTCCCATGTTAACGCTTAATGGATTAGGAGCTTAATGCTCATTTCTGGTCAGATCTGGACTCACGACGTGAGGAATAAAGCCTCACGACGTGAGAGTGTGTTTGAGGAAGTTTCTGGGCCAAATTCACGACCTCACGACATGAGCATAAGGTGCTCACGACGTGAGCATCACCTGTGCAAGTTTTGGGCTCTTTGATTGTTGGCTAGCTTGGTATTGGACTTATCCTTTGGTTTGGGCTCGTAATGGACTAAGGATTTTAGAGTAATGGACTTCTGGTTGGGCTTGCCCTAATGGGCCTTGGATGATGAATTGGGCCTTAGTGGGCCCAATGTAGTTAGGCCTTGATTGGGCCCAATGGGCTTGGACCTTTGGGCTATCGGAAAATCATTGGTTCAGAAAAGTAAATGGGCTTTAGGGAAAGGCCCATGTAAGGGTTTGGGCCCAATTTAGAAAATTGGACCATTGATGAGTTTTTATGGATTTGATAGTTTTGGGCCTTGGTTGTGAATCTTGTTAGGCCAGGGGTGAAACGGTCATTTCACCCCAAGTAAGGATTATGGAACATGGTTTGGAAATGTAAAAAATGGCGATAAGCTTCAAACAATATAACTTGAATTTCAACAAACGTTTGACTTTTGAAAATAAAAATTAGCAAAAAAAAATTGCACGAGGAAAGAAAAAGACACGTGATGAAAAGCAAAATGTGCATGATGAAAAACGTTGTCTCAAAGATATAAAACTTTTATGCAAAATACCAACCTCCTTTTAGGCAAAAAAAAAAAGAAAAAGGAAAACCTACAAATGATATTAATGTTGAATGTCGACATTAAGAAAAAATATCTTAGCTAGAGTGGTATTCGTCTATATTTTAATTTGTATTATGTTTTATTTTAGTTATGTACGTTTTTTTCCAAATAATGAAATATTTGCATAGTTATTACGGGAAAATGACTTAATATGGTAATATACTTTTCATTTTATACATATTTAGTTACTGATTTTTTATCCACATTTGACTATTTAATTTGTTTTTTTGTACACATTCAAATCTAATGACCGGTTACTTTAGGTTAAGCTGGAAAAAAATGACTTAATAGGATAATATAATTTTCAATTTGTACACATTCAATCTTTATGACTGATTTCTTCGGTCTTTATTCACGGCATCCTATGTGGGACAATCATTAATGATGTGTTCTCATATGTGGCTCGTACCTATCTTATATTAGTAACCTAATTCACGAATCGGTCAAATAATGTTAGTGCTCTAGTTTTCTCCAAGCAGAAGATGTGTTCTGCTTCAGTTTCATCTATCTCCATAACATACAACGAGATTCTTTGTGATTATTTCCCCCCAATTCAAATTTGCGCGTAACAAAAACAAACAATAGGGACCTTCCAAGTTAAAAAAATAAGTTAGAAACCAAACGTGCAAATTACCCTAAACCATATGGACCATTCGTGCAATTTACTCAAAATCGAAAGGTGAAATATTTGTACTTCCCTCTAATATTATAAATTAGTTTACATCAACCGTTAAATTAGGTTGTTTGTTGTTGGGAATGATAGTATCATTGATGTTGGTTATGAAAAATACCTTTTCTTTTTTAATTATATCTAAATCTTTCCATGCTTCCGATGACTTTTCTGTAATTATATCTAAAGTAGTCTTGAGTACCTATACTAGTTGAATTCAGATGATATATAAAAACAATCTTCAACCATTCCACATGTGTTTTTCGCTGTTATTTCACAGATTCCAAAACACAAACACATACAAAATGTCAACAAGATCAAGGCCCATTCAAAAGATACTTTTCGAGGCATTTGATGTAATGGAGCGTTGGTTTCAAGGTCTCTCCAGGGACATGAATATGTTAAGGTTTCTCATACACAAGCTTCACTTCCATCAGTGTCTCCCCTTCACCTACTTCTGTAAACTTAAATCCATACATGTATGATGAAAATCCATGATCCAAAGGCCCTCCTTCCAATATTTCAAGAGCAGTATGATGCAGAGATTCATCAAATTCCACAATCTTCTCCTTCTGATACCTCACTTTTACATCTAACAAAAAAACATATCCAAGAAAAATCAAGAAATCTTCCTAACAAAATCCCACAACCAAAAAAATTCTCAACAAATAAAGAATCAAGGATTACCAGGGTGGAATTATTATTATTTTTTTTTTTTTCAATTAACTCAGCTCCCTCCACTATATATGGTATAACCTTGGGCACCATGTGCCTGATGTCACACTTGACATTGCCTTCCATAACTCTTTAATGGGCACACCAACCTTCACTTGAGCTATATTTTCCTTCATCTTTCACTGTATGCAGACCAAGGGGCTGTTTGTTTTTTTTTTTTTGTGCAGATCTGCGCAACCATTTTTGTCTGAGCCGCGCAGACATATGCCCTCGCAGAGTGTTTGTTTTTTGGAAGTGCGCAGATCAAAAAACGTTTGCGCCAGGTTTCCTGGCACAGACATGTGCCACTGTCTTCAAAGGTCTTCACACATCATTTGAACCTAAACAAAAAAAAAAAAAAAAAAAAAAGCATGGGCCACTGTGCAATTTTTTTTTTCTTTAGCTTAAAATGCATTTTTAATGTTTAAGACATGAAATTAAGTTTGAAAAATCAATTTGTTTTAGCAACGGCAGACGTTTAAAACAAACAGTCTTCTTATTGCAGACTACAGACATTTTGTACACCTTTTCTGGCGCAGAGGCTTGCAGATGTCGCAGACCGCAAACATTTTGGATTCAGAAAAAAAAACAACACCCAAGTCTTCTGAACCATTTATATCATATTTGTTGGAACGCCAATTATTTAATTATTATGTATGAAAACAAAATGAGGTGTTTGCAGAAGATTAATAATTTGAAACTTTTAGAATCTTAGATTGTAAAGGACAAAAATAGCATTTAAGCATCCCCTTAATCCATTAATCTAAGCATCTTTTTACTAATTCGTTGTTGATAGTACTAAATCACAAAGAATAGCAATATATTCAACTCTCAGTAAAGCTATCGTCCTATAATATATTTTGTATATTGATCACTGAATAAATGGTTACAAATAGCATAAACAACAAATCTTATTACTACAACAAACAAAATTCAAAACAAAAACCATAACGTTTTGATTTTTGATCATCTTCCTCGTGGATTAACAAGTTGAGAAAATACAGCACTTGTGGCATCTTCATCTGTGCAGGACTGGGCCCCATCGATCATACTTGTGCTGTGTTCAAAGGGCTCAATGGGAGTAAATGGGATCCCTTGTATATGATTTGTGCTGTTATCTTCAGGTTCCATTAAAGCTGCTGAAGTCTCTTCAAGCTGCAAAGCATACTCCAAGTTCCATAAAACATCTCCCATGGAAGGCCTGTCAACTCCATATTCAGCCAAACACTTCTCAGCAGTCTCACCAAATTTCTTCAGAGAAGACATATTCACTTTCCCAACAAGATTCACATCCATAATTTGATCCAACATTCCCTTCTTTTGCCACGTCATCGCCCATTCAGCAATGTTGACTTGGTCTCTCGGAAGAACCGGATTTAAAGCCGGTCTTGTACAGATAACTTCCATTAAAACCACCCCGAAAGAATAAACATCGGACTTTTCTGTTAACTGTTGTCGTCTGAAATATTCGGGATCTAAATACCCGAAACTACCCTTCACAGCCGTGCTGACATGGGTTTGGTCGAGAGACGGGCCCGCTTTCGAGAGCCCGAAATCCGCGACTTTTGCTACAAAATTCTCATCTAACAATATGTTTGTCGTTTTCACATCACGGTGAATTATGCTCTGGTTTGCACCCGTGTGAAGATAATGCAAACCACGTGCAGCTCCGATACAGATCTCCAGCCGTTGCTTCCATGGCAACGGCGGGAGATCTGTACCGTACAAATGGCTCCTGAGGGGGCCATTTGCCATGTACTCATAAACAAGGATCATTTCAGACCGTTCATCACAATACCCGATTAGGGAAACGAGATGACGGTGCCGAAGCTTCGATAACATCTCGATTTCGGTTCGGAATTCCGCGAGACCTTGTTCGGATCGTGGGTTTCCTCTTTTAACAGCTACGCGGGTCCCATCTTCCATTGTACCCTTGTAAACCCTACCGAAACCACCAACCCCAAGAAGCAAATTCTCATCGAATTTGTTTGTGGCATCCATGATTTCTTGAAAAGTAAAGTTTCTTCCAAGATTACACGAAGCTAATGAAATGCAGCTTGCGGTTGCGCTTTTTTGAGACGCGGTTGACATCTTTGTCATGGTGAGTGAGTTTCCGTGTAATGGAAGAGGGAGCCATGAAGGCTTCGGGTGGCTCATTTTTGACCTTCGGGCCACCACACAACAAAAGCAAACACCGAGTAGAATTATAACAGCTGAAACCCCAACAATTAATCCCACAATGACACCTGTCTTCTTGTTCTTTTTTGGAAACACAACAAGATTCTCAACCGAATTAACCCCGTCTAAGCTTCGAGCTTCATTGCTAATTTTCAAGATTTCAAGACCATTCAAAAGCACATTTACATCTTCAGCAACTAGATCCGGTCCAATGCTAATAGTCAGAGTACTCTGGTCACCAGACGAATTGCATATAAAATCTTTGTAAGCAGGGACATCGAGGTTACCAGTTAAGCTCGATAAATCAAGGTCAGCAAAAGCAGTCTCGGAATTTATATACAAATTGAACACGAGGGTATTCAGAGAGGTGCTCACAATATCGCAAAAATGTAAACGCACAAAGTAAGTGAAATCTGGATCCACAGGAAGAACCCAAGTGATGTTGAAATCCAAATTGGCGACGTTGGCATCTCCCATTGTTTGAGCAGTTGCGTACACCCAATTGGGTGCAATTTCTGGTGTGACACTTTCGGTGTATTTTATCATCGATGGGATGATCGAGACATTTGCAGCAGAACCATTCACATGGAGATACTTGTTATCGTTTTCCCATGTTCTTCCTAATGTATCATTTTGAGGAGTTAATTTCGGGCCACCCATATTCAAACGATGCACAGTTTCAAAGGCGCGATCTGATAGACCGCTAATTGTGGCAGATGGGAACACGAATGTAGCCTCGTCGGGGATCATATTGTCAGGGATGGAGATAACTTCAATTGCATTGATGAATGCGACTGAGTTGTTTGAAGGAACGAAGTTGAGAAGCAATGTATCGGAAGTCACGTTGATCGAATATTCTCTAAAGAGATGACTAGAACCATTGTAGCTTTTGAAACTGTAATTGTTTAAGAGCACGAAGTTTTGGGTGACTACACTGAACGAAGACGATGTGAGGTTGTGAGATGGAATTGGGTAAAAGTATAGACGGACCCAATGCCGACCCTGTTTCTTGATGTCGAACTTGTAAGAGGATGTGGTGGTGAACAATCGGGCCGATTGGTGGATGGGTAATGGAACGGTGGAATTGGAATGGATTGTGTTTGAATTCGGGTGGCTATTCAGAGTGATCATTGATGATTCGTCTGAATCAGGAACATAAGTCTGACCAAGAAAAGTCACGTTTTGGGAAGAACCACAAGCGATTAAGTAGCGATCCACAGGGCTGAATGAAGCAGATGATTGATGAACATATGTAGATAGAACAAACGCGAGAACTAGAGAAACCCACTTCAGGAAACTCATTTTTGAAGAATCTGAGTATTTAAATCACCAAATTGGTAATAATTTGAACTTAAAAGATTCAATCCCCAAATTTATAATAATTTAAACTTGAAGATCCAATCATGAGGCAATCAAGTAGCTATCAATAAGATTGAATATAGAAGAATCAAGCAACCCACCTCAACAAACACGTGTTCTTGGACATCATAGTCTATAAATTCCCAAATTAGTCGTGAAGGTAAACTTAAAGATTCCAGATTCAAGCAAAAAAAAAAAACAGCAATGCGGTGCTGTGTCTATAGCTGAAAAATCAAACAAAGGAAGAAGGTAAAGTTCAATACCATGAAAAGTAAAGAACCCCAGGGATCTATTAGAAGCAATGTTGAAACCAGTAGCTTAGTTAAACTAAAGAAGATTTTGTTTAAACACAAACTAGGGTTTTGGGTTTCGAATTGAGCAATAGGAATTTGGAGCAAGATAGCTTGATTCTGAAGTAGCTTTTGTTACCTCATTTGGAATGTAGTGAGAAAATGAGTAGAATGGGGTAACACCGTCAAGAGAAAGCTGGAAGCTTTTTGCAATTTGCTCCACAGCTCTTTCCAGGCTGGTATATTAGGCTGGCGATTTACAGGAAAAGAGGAGAAATAAAGGAACAAGATTAAGATGGTGGAACCCACAACCAGGTTTTCCAATCCAGGGTTGTATTTGGTTCCAGTATCCACACATGGGGTCTGGATGGCTTGTTGCTTCTCGATTTGTGGCAATTATCCGTGAAAATGTTAGGAATTATCGTTTTGGATATTTTTTTCATACAAAAGTTCAATTTTTCTTTTTGTTGCAACTCTCTAGTTACAATTTTTTCTTTCAAAATTTTGATTACGGGTGTGGGTGTCAAAAACCTTGTTCTTGTTCGGGTGTTCCCATTGGGCTGGGCTCCATCACCAACACGAGAAATTTTTAAAACTCTTTGGGTTCAGCTCGGGCTTGGGTTAAGGGCCAAGAGTGGGAATATTTTATAATCTTAGGATCAGATAGAATGAACCAGTTTTTTTTAGAAGAGGAGGAAAAAAGCTGAACCGCTTAGAATTGGCTAGGTTAAAACTGAAGCACCGGTTTAAAATAGGTTTTTTTTTATATAATTGAACCCGGTTTTTTCTTGTTTTTTTCGAAAAAAAAAAAAAAAAAAAAAAAAAAAAAAAAACTGAACTGAATTAGTTTTTAGCTGAGAAAACCGATTTTTTAACGTATTTTTATTTCAAAAAAAAAAAAAAAATTGAACCCATTAGGAAAACTTTGTTTAAATTGATTCTTAAAAAAACCAAAGCGATTTAAATCCTGTATATGTGTACCTTAGGATTGAGAATATTTTGACTTTAGTCTAAACGAGGGGTTAATGACGTTATAAAATAGCTTAGGTGTTTTTGGTTTATATATATATATATATATATATATATATATATATATATATATATATATATAGAGGTTCAGGTTCATTTGAGACCATGCTAATTTTGTGAGACCGTGAGACCAAATTTAAAAATAATTTTAAAATGCAAAATAAAAGGAAAAATCCAAAAATTCTTTTTTTAATTCTTATTTTCGAAACTTTATTTAACTAAAAAAAAATTATCGTTTTTTTTTTAAATACGTGAAATATTCTAATAGAATATTACACTGTACATTTCTAATATGATTTTTAGAATGTTTAGAATATTCTACTAGATTTGCAAGATATGTAGAATATTCTAAATATTCTACTAAAATATGTAAAAAAATGTATTTTTTTGTATTTATTTTTTTTTTGGTATTTTTTTTTTTTTTGGAAAATATATATTCCGAAAATAATATTGGAAAAAAAATTTCGAAAATTTTCAATTATTTTGCATTTTAAAAATGTTTTTGTTTTATCTACTAAATGAGTGGCTAGGATTGCGTCTCACGGTCTCACAAAATTATGCCGTCTCACATGAACCTAACCCTATATATATATATATATATATATATATATATATATATAGATAGATATATATATAGATATATATATATATATAGATATATATATATATATATATATATATATATATATATAAAAGTTAAAATTTTTTTTGTACAAATCAGTTATCTATAAATAATTCATTAATATTTGCTAAAGTTTGAAGACTTTCATTAAAAAAAGTAATTAAGAAATTCAGTTTGAAGTAAAATAAAAAATTTAAAATATTAAATTCATGTATATAAATTAATTTATATTTCTTAAATAAACACAAATATTAATTAATATACATCAATAGTATAAACAGGTAATATAAACATAAGGTATAAACATATATATTTTATTTAAAAGTGATAATTTTTATTACATAATAACTAATAATAAAATCGAATAATAATTTACTCGAAAGAAACTATTCACCAAAAAAATTTAATTATTTCTGCTGTTCTGCATGGGCACACATCTAGTGTGTGTGTGTGTACACACACACACACAATTGTTTTCAAGAAAAAAGAAGTTACCAAATTTAAAACTATAATTGTAACATCTTGTTTCTTGACATTTCTGAGCCATGGATCGGAAGTCGATTGTGTAAGACTTTTGGCCATAAGGAGGCAAAGTTTAGTCCTTGTGGAAGGAGGTAATGATATTTAAGAGATTTTACCCCTGAGTTTTGTTTTGGGTCGAAGGGTAGAAAGGGAAAAGTCTTAGGTCAGGTTCTTGCGTGAAATATGGATTTTTGTTCGAGAAGTTTTTAGTTCAAGATATTTAGATAATATTGTAGAGCTCTTCAACACCTTTCTGTGGATATAAAGAACGTCGAAAAGGGAGTTGGAACGAAGAAGTTATGATTGTTTGAAGTTAGGGTAGTTTTGGGTTGAGCCGCGTATGTTAGGCGTACTCAACGTGTATGTTGGGCGTACTATGCATACACGATCTGTAACATCCCAATTTTCAAGGCCAAAAATTTCGTTTTAATTACGTTTCTTATAAATCAATTTACTGGAAAACATCATCGATATCATTTCAATTCATAAAACCATAGTAAACATGTCTCAAAACCATATCATAAAGTAATAATGTCAGAGTACAAATCCCCAGAATCTCATGTGCGGAAAACCATGTGTGTGTAATGCGCTGCTACCATGCCGGCTCCTTCCCCTTTGACGAAGAGGTACATGAAACAAAACTGAAAACTGTAAGCACGAAGCTTAGTGAGTTCCCCCATCATACCACATACCACATAACACATAACATACATACTGTCGGGCAATTCTGGGGTGCCCGACCTACCCTGTCCGGCCATTCTGGAGTGCCGACCTACCCATGTCAAGCAATTCTGGGGTGCTGACCTACCCATGTCAAGCAGTTATAGGGTGCTGACCTACCTTTCGGTCCTAACAACCGAACTTCGAGGACTATTTCACCCCTACTACACATATCATAACATAATCATATTGTCAGGCATATCTGGGGTGCCGACCTACCCTAAGGTCCTTACGACCGTGACACGGGGACTATTCCCCTACTGCTACTATCACATCTCATCATAACATGCTAACACATAAGACATATACGGTAGCAGAAAACAAAGACAATCATCTAACATACAACTCCTACTAGTGGGCCGACATTGTGGCCGTAGACCCACCGCTACTGGAAGGTAACTCACCTCAATGTCGTGTAGTGTCTGCACTGTCTTCAGTATGGAAATCAACTCTTCTCGAATCTTCAATCCCTACACAACATCCTTTCTACATTACCATTTCATACTCATAACTCCTACAACGTTCAACTCAAGTCCAATTCAAAACCTTGGTCAAAGTCAACTTATGTCAAAGTCAACATCCGGTTGACTCGACTCGCCGAGTTGGTCCACCAACTCGTGGAGTCCCCACGTCCACAAAATGCTACAATCCCGTCCCTACTCGTCGAGTCTAGCAAGAGCCTCGACGAGTTCTCCTTCATCACAACATCGGGACCTTTTTCAACTGACTCGCCGAGTTCATCCTCGAACTCGGCGAGTTCATCTTCATCCGTATGAAGATGTTTAGTCTATGACTCGCCGAGTTCTCCTCGAACTCGTCGAGTCTGTCTTCATGTGGTTGGGACATTTCCTTGAACTCGTCGAGTTCCTCCTCGTACTCGTCGAGTCCTTCAATCTTCAAGTCCATAACAAACCCCACCAGGCTGAATTTTCCTTCAACTCAACCAAAGACCATTTCCAGAAGACGTTTGGGGGAAACTGCGACCCGACTCGCCGAGTCACCTAAGAGACTAGCCGAGTCACCCTTTGTCCAAAGCTATACAGTTGATTTTAATCGTTCTTATTGCATCCAAACCATAGATCTGGCCTCCTAGGGTCCATTTAATACGTAAAGTTCCAATCTTGACGTCCATGCATGAGGTTTTTGGATCAAAAAGCCATAAGAAGGGGTTTATATGTTGCATGGGTCTCCCATGGCCATAAAGTTGTCACCTTTATGCCATGGGAACCCTCAATGGTTCCATATCTGAAGTGCAACTCCAAATATACACCCAAATCCGAGTATGGCTTCACTAAAGCTTAGAAAAAGGTAGAAAATAGCCCCAAATCAAGATCTAAGTAGTGAATAGCCAAGGTATCAAATTTATACCTCAAATGGGCAGGAAATGTGCCAAAACTTCTAGATCTACTTGCTCTCTCTTGATCTCCCAGGCTTCCTTCTCCTTCTCCAACATTAAATACACACAAAAGGCACCAAAAAGCTCAAGAACACTTCAATAAAGGCTTAGGGTTTCGAGTTAGGGTTTCTTTGGGTTAGGAGGGATGATGGGGGCTGGGTTGAGACAAGCTAAGTTGTTTAAATAGGGTGCAAACCCCAAATATTAGGGTTTTGTCCAGACAACCCTAGTCGTCGAGTCGGTCTCCTGACTCGTCGAGTAGGTCACTTATCCTCCCGATCAAAAACCGAGTCTACTCGACGAGTTGGGCCTCCAACTCGCCAAGTCCCAGTGCAAAACATGAAGTTACTTAATTTAAATATGT